GCTTGTCGCTAATGAACCTCTCTCTAAGATTGGCATGTCCCTAAGAAAACCCTAACCTAGAACTTCAAAACCCTAATCCTTAATCCCAAACTTTAGCCTCACCGAAGTTGCAGAAGACGCCAGAGAAGAGGAAGAGATGGAAGAGAAATGTTCATGTGTAGTACAGGGGCGGATCTAGTATAGGTGTCTAGGTATTTCTGGAAATACCCAACAAATTTGCCAAACCATTATGCATCTATATACAAAGTATACAAATATAAATGTTAGTTGAAATTTATTTTTTACCATTTTCTTGCTATTCACATATGAAACAGTGCAGCTTATCGTCCTAATCTCAACACACTACACCAAAACTTCCTTTAAGCCAATATAATATGTTATTCGCCAATCGGTCAACTATGATCTTCCTCCGTCCCTCAATCACACATGGGTGCATGCATGGGCACCGTGTGCATCTATCACCCCTTATCTACACCTAATCTTCAAGTATCATTCAAATCTTAATCCACACTTGAACCTAAAGTAGACAACCACAATGACATGCATACGGACACAGACGCGATGGTATGACATGCAGCCAGCCCAACTTTAAAATCCTAGATCCAGCATTGGCAGGGGCGGATCTACATGGTATGCCAGGTATGCACCGGCATACCGTGCAGTCCGGCCCATCTACATCGACCTATTTGTGAAAATATCTTGGCGCCTCACCGGCCTCCATCCGTGCCTCATGAGTCACGACGATCCCATCGCGCGCCTGCCATGAGACCCACACCGCCGCTTCCCCTTACTGCCTCGCGACTTGCAGTCGCGATCCCATCAAGCCACCAAGTGCCGCACCCGTGCCTAGTGTCCTCGTCGTCGGTCATCGGTAATGGTAACAAAGCCAATAGCCTAGCACCCACCGACAACCTCAGATTTGGCCATGCTTGTGTAGGAGAGGCGGAGTTCGATCAAAGTCACACCAAGCTTTACAATACAAAGGCTAATTGGTGTTAATTAGGTTTAGATTGGGATTTGGGTAGAAGAACTACTTAATTGACAACTAGACCAAGAAGCTGAAATAATTCCACTCCTAGTACTCCGACAAGCATATGCTTGCAAATCGACAGGTAACACTTTGCATTTTCTTGATTTGATCTTATTACTTTTCTAAGAATTTTTCCTAATTAATTACCTACATTAGTTTGTGTATATCATGGAGACCAGCGAGATTACTTATCATTATTTGTGTATATCACCAAACATCAGTATCATATATTCATATCATGTATGTTTTATAATCGTAGCAGACTGCATCATGTGTATATGAACTATGATTCTATCGTCCCGATCGCATAGGATTTACATTGCTTTTTTTTAGAATTGTTTACTTATATATGAAGAGAAGCGAAGACATTGCTTCTATTTTTTATAACAGAGAAACAATCATATTTGATATCTCTTAGAAAGCGTCGGCTTAAAAAATTAGACAAACAGTATGATTCTATCATCCCAATCGCATGGATTTACATTGCTTTTTTCGAATTGTTTACTTACATATGAAGAGAAGCGAAGACATTGCTTCTATTTTTAATAATCGTGACAATCATATTTGATATCTCTTAGAAAGAGTCGGCTTAAAAAGTTAGACAAATAGCATTCTAAGTTTTTTATTCTCTTTCATGACTCATTTTAAATCATCAGCATGGTGTTAAACTATTTAAATTGTAATATGTGGAAGCTTCCAACTTAATCTTTAAATTTAAGACTTATCATATTATTTAGTGAATGTATATCAAGTTATGCTGCAAATTTTGTGATCTTTTATCGAATTGGTAAATGAGTTTACTGAGCTGTATATGAAAATTTGTGTGTGGCATACCATTAGGTAAAATCTTAGATCCGCCTCTCCACCGGTGTGGTAGGCTAGGGAAGAAATTTTCACCCGGTAGTTTAGGGGGGAAATTTTCACCCGGCGCACTTACCATTGTTGAAAAATCATATGACTGAAAACCACGAACATAATTACGCCGTTAGCATAACATCAAACATCAACGTGTACCAGCACCGGCCATCGTGACAGTGACTCGCAGTGAGCACTCGGACCAGTCAGCACTCAGCACTTTGCAAGCTAAAAACTCGCAAAGCCGTCAGCGCGGGCGAGTTCTTCACATGCTCGAACTCGGTGATGGTGAAAGCTACCCAGGTCAACGCCGCGTGCGTCCCCACAGGAGCGTTGAAAAAGGCAAATTCCCCATGCAATTTCCCAAACGAGAATCAATAATACTGTGTACGAGTAAGAATAAAAGGACTATTAGGAGGAAGGAATAATGCAAAAAAAAAAAAGGCGAAAAGTAAACGGTGATGTCGGCGTTCGACGAGCACTACGATCAACCGATGATCCACAGGGAAATATGGAATCCTAGTGTGTCCGCACCCCAAAAAAAGGTCAACTCGATAGAATAACAGTCGGCACCACCCCTCTTGCCCACCACAAAAATCTGGCTAAATAATGCTGGGGCAGGAGGGAATAATCGATGGTTATTCTTGCTTTGCGATTCAAACAGTTGTTTATCGATCCTTGTGTATGAGTTTCCCGCGAGAACTTGCGGATTTATTAGTATATCGTTGACATCAGGTATCAGCTCGTAAATTTCCGGCCGGAAACAGTGTTTTTCTCTCACACTAAATCAGCCAGCAGTAAATAATCCACGATACGATACGGCCTCCCGAACAAGCTGTATGTTGTTTAGTTTATAGTGGATCTAAAGCGCACGAACGACTGGACGAGGTAAGTTGCATAGGTAACTTCCAACGATACCATGCTGATACGTGGTACATGCACATGACCCTCCTTCCGTCCTAAAATAAGTGCTCATCTCGCACTTCGAGAAGTCAACTAATAAAAAGTTGGATAAACTTTATAAACAATAATATCAACATTTATTTCTCTAAATAGATTTACTATGAAATTATATGTCGTGATTAATCTAATAATATGTATTTTGTTCCATAAGCATTATTATTTTTGTGTATATATTTAATCAAACATAAATGTGTTTGACTCCTCAAAATGCGTCATGAGCACTCATTTTGGGACAGAGTAGACAGCTAGCAGATCTCTCGGTTTCGTCTGATGATACAACTACTAATCCACCTCTAGATTTGGAAAAAATAAAACTCAAGGCCTTGTTTAGATTGCAAGTTTTTTCACTCTCTCTATCACATCAAATCTTTGACACATGCATGGAGTATTAAATGTAGATAAAAAAAATAACTAATTACACAGTTTGATTGTAAATTACGAGACGAATCTTTTGAGCCTAATTAGGCCATGATTGAACAATAATTATCAAATACAAAACGAAAATGCTACAATGCCAAATCTTGATTTCTAACCCTAATCTAAACGAGGCCCAAGGGCGCGGGATAGATCTAGGGCCTGTTTAGATAAGCGATTTTTTTTTTTGCAATATATCTTGTATGCGCGTTTACGTTGTTATTTGGCAATTAATGTCTAATCATAGTCTAATTAGGTTTAAAAGATTCGTCTCGTGAATTTCGTCTAAACTATATAATTAGTTTTATTTTTTATTTATATTTAATGATTCATGCATGCGTCCAAAGATTCGATGTGACGGGGAATCTGAAAAATTTGACAAAATTTTCTGGAACTAAACTAGACCCTAGTAGGCAGCTATAGCCCATGGCCCCATGGATAAAGCCAACGAAAGATTCAGAAGGCAATGACAAACAATGTGAGCAGTGACACGCATAAACAGATCAGATGTTCACATCGGTCAGGTGAACAATTAAACAATGAACAGAAAATTTGCAGGTCAGGGACACGGGACACCGCCAGCACGCCGGATACCCTCATCCAAACTGCGGGCTGCAGGGCGCGCACATCTCTAGGGCTGGAACATGGCAGTGTTTCAGAGATCTGAATAAACAAAAGCGTTAACAGAGGGGAGCCAGCGCGCCAATTGCTATGCCTGGCTTTCTTGGCTTTGTTAATCCCAACGTTGCCCAGGTCAACTTGTTGAGCCTCCCCACTCGTCCAATAATCCATCCCCATGAAGGCAACTTTGCGAATAGACGCCTCGACTTGTGCTTATTTATGGTAAAGAGCCCCCTGATGGTTGACTTTACAACAAGATTGAAACGAGGTTACCCGATCATTGGTTAACCGCCACAGATGGCACCGGCAAACAGTGTTAGCAGTACTTTGGACAGCGACTGCTGGACTATGATTCAAAGCAATGACTTGACTATATGCTTGCATTTACGTGAAATTGCAGTTTTAATGGGAAATACTAATAGCGAAAGGCATCAATTTCCTAACCTATTGTGTTAAAGATATACATGAACAATTAAAATTAAAAGCAATTCGTGAAGAAACCATTCCTACCTAGAAGTTGGAAGGTGTTCTTCGACTTTTAGCTGCAGGAGCGGAGCTAGAACAAATTGGAGCGGGTGTCATGGATTCATAAATTTGTATATTGGGAATGCATGTATGGTGATCTTTTAATTTGTGTTTTGGTGTGGGTGTGCTCACACCACCCAGACTTTACATAGATCCGCTTGAGTTTAGGTCTGACCCCTCTTGCAAAACAACTACAATGCCATATGTTTGATTTTCTTCGTAGACGTATTCATCGAACTATCTAGATTGCGATGCAAGTCAAACTTTTCATAAAGACAAGAAGTCAGGGTATGCATCATTCACACATTTTCACTGCCTCTGTTTATGCCGCTAAGTCAGCCTTTATAGGAGAACGAAGAACTAGTAGACCTTAATTCGCAGTGTCCTAAGGGTCTAAACCGGAAGAGCACCACAGCGATGCGACGCATGTGAACACCACCAAGACGAGAGCGAATCCAGCGCTCCGCCTTTAAACTAATCGACGACAACCGCCCGCGCTACCGCAACGCGCGCTCACCGTCCTCCTCTCCTCCCCGCAGTATAAAAGCTTCCTTCCGCTTCACATCTTCTCGTCAAACCCGATCCGTGGACAATGGCGAGCGCGCCGGGCGAGGTGCCGTCCCACTTCCTCTGCCCCATCTCGCTGCAGCTCATGCGGGAACCCGTCACGCTGCCCACCGGCATCTCCTACGACCGCGCCGCTATCATCCGCTGGCTGGCCGCGCCCCACCTCCGCCGGCGGCCGCACCTGCCCGGTCACGCGTGTGCCGCTCCCTGCCGCAGCCCCAGCTGACGCCCAACCACACCCTCCGCCGCCTCATCCAAGCCTGGCTCGCGTCCCTCTCACCCGAGGCGGAGGTCGACGACGACGTGGCCGCGCTGCGGGGCCCGTGCCGGGCGCCGAGGTGGCCGCGCTGCTGTCCGACGCCGCCGCGGCGCAGGTTGAGGCGCTCAAGAGGCTGCGGGAGCTGGTGGCCGAGTGCGAGGACAACCGGGCGGTTCTCGAGTCCCAGGACGGGGTGTTCGACGCCTTGTCTCGCGTCGTCAGCAGTGCCGATGCGTGCTCGACGGCGCGCGAGGAGGCCGTCGGGGTCCTCGCGTCGCTCCGGATTCCGGAGCCGGAGCTGGCCGGCGTCGTGGCCAGGCACAGCAACCTCGGGGAGGCACTCACGGCCGTCCTCCGCTCGTCGAACCTGAAGTCGCGCGCGAACGCCGCTCTGCTCGTTAGGTCCCTCTCGGAAGCGGCCTGGCCGGCCTGGGTCATCGGGCTGAGCCAGGAGCTTCTCGCCGAGGTTGTCCGCGTGGTCCGCGACCGTGTCTCGACGCAGGCGACCAAGGCAGCGCTGCACGCCCTCGCGGCGCTCTGCCCCTACGGCCGGACCCGCGTCAAGATCGTGGGCGCGGGCGCGGTGCCGGCGATCGTGGACCTCCTGCTCGACGACCCCGAGAGGCGTGTCAACGAGATCGCGCTCGTGGCGCTGGACCGGCTGTGCAAGTGCGCCGAGGGTCGCGCTGAGCTGGTCGCGCACGCGGCGGGGCTGGCCGTGGTGGGCAAGAAGGTGCTGCGGGTGTCGGAGGCCGCGAGCGAGGCGGGCGGTGCGCGTGCTGCGCTCCGTGGCGCGCCACGCTGCGACGCCAGCCGTGCTGCAGGAGATGGCGCAGTCCGGCGTCGTGGCCAAGCTCTGCGCGGCGCTGCGGTCAGAAACAGTGCGGGGTGAGGACCAAGGAGAGGGCGCATGAGGTGCTCAAGCTGCACTCCAGGACCTGGAGGAGCTCGCCCTGCCTGTCTCCAAAAATTTTGGAGCTCTACCCTTTGTGATGATGGGGCTTCTTTTTCCTGTTGATTCATTCTTTCAATCTAGGCATCAGATTGTGCCTGCGGAAGAGGGACACATCTGAGCTGAATTCTTTTTGCTTGGTTACCGAATTAGTGTAGGATGATGTAATATTCTTGATCGTCTGTTCAGTTCAGCGCACCTGATTTGTGCCAAGATGTTGAGATGGAGAATACGTTTCGTATTCCCTGAAGGAAGAATCAAGTGCTGATAAAATCAAAGAAAGGAGTCGCAGGATGAAAATGGAAAAGCCAAATCATACTCGAGCATTTCATGCGCGATCCATGCTCTATTTTCCATGGACCTGATTTGCACCAAGACCTGCGTTGAGATGGACTTCTCCACTTCCGACATAATCGCTTTGTTTAACTAGGATGCAAGTTCCATTTGTTTGGGTCATTTGGTTAACATACAACTTGATAAAATGAACTAAAATGGTGTAGGGAGAATTAAACTATATTAGCTAACTCAGAAAAAAGCATTAGTAGATAAGCAGGTAAGCTATTAATTGATGATTGCTATGACCGGGTGCTAAAGCTAATTAGGCTACACATGCTGTGGTATTGCACATTCCATTAATATTCGTAAGCCAATGTACTGAATTTGAACTAAATGTTTTTCATTGGAGATAGAAATAGCTGGTCAAAGATGAAAACGAAATTGCTGCTACTACCAAAAATGATAACACACACATACAAAAAGAAAAGAATCAGGTACTCATGTCTACTAACGCTGAAATGTTGAATTTATATGTATAATATGTTATTAAGATAGATTTAGCTATTAGATCTTTTTTTTATCACACAAAACATGTATTCGGATTTCTAGTATATAGGAGGTATGTGTTGTTTTCCTCAAGTTAGTTCAGGTATGTTTCTGAAAATAATTACAAGGATCCAAGTATTGCAATCTCCAATTGATTTATCAGGTAACACTAATACATAAAACTTTACCGAGGCGGGCAAAAGCGCTTAACCGAGACGGGCAAGCCAACGGCCTCGGTCCAAAGGTCACGGTTAATCATGGCTTGGCCAACCGCCTCGGTTAACGCTATTAACGGAGGCGGTTGAGTTAAGCAGCCTGCCTTGTTTAATAATTTCACGAAATAAAAAAAAGTCCACCGAGCCCGGTACCACGCGCCGCCGTTGCCCGTGGTAGGATCCGCGCCGTCGCAGCTGCCGGTGGCCAAATCCGTTCGGTGGTGGCCGGATCTGCACCCCACTGCTGTTGGTGACTTGATCTACGCCCTTGTCGCCTTCAGTGGTCGGATCCTCCGTCGATGGACCGTTGGGGGCCGGATCTTGTGGCTGACGCATGAGGGACAGGGAAGGGGCGCCGTGCTCAGAGGAGAAGGAGGGGCCACCGTGCCGTGCTCGGAGGAGGAGGGCCGCTGTCGCCGGTGCGGGCCTCCCTGCGCACCGCTGCTACGTGTGGTGGCCGCCACCGCCGGAGGGGCTGGCTCGTGCGCCTCCTCCTCCCCGCCACCCGCCTTCGCTGCCTCCACGCCGAAGAGGGAGACGTGCGTGGAGGGATGGACCGGAGGGAGAGACCGACGAGAGAGGGGCCGAAGAGAGAGACGAGAGAGAGGGACGGACGAGAGACGGATGAGAGAGAGGGACGGACGAGGGAGAGTTATTTTCGCTCCGCTGCACGCGTGGCGAGCCACAAGTGGCCACCGGCCCCGCTTCCGGATCGCTGACGTGGAGTAGCACACGGACCATCCCAGCGCACAGCACATTTGTGCTTTCTCACTGTGACCGACACGCGGGCCCCACTCCCACTCCTGCACCCGCGCCTCAAGGTCTGAACGCAGCGCTGAATAACTGAGGCGGTTATTTGGAAGCATTAACCGAGGCGGTTGCGTTATAATGCCTGCCTCGGTTAATAGGCATTAACCAAGGCGGTTACGTTATAATGCCCGTCTCGATTAATAGGCATTAACCGAGGTGGTTGTGTTATAATGCCGGTTGCTGGGCTGGCTGTTCTGCCATGAATAACCGAGGCGGGCAGCCGGCCCGCTAGCCTTCAAGGTCATTTTGAAAACGTCTCGTAAAAGATTTTGTGTAGTAGTATAATAATATGAAAGATCCATCTTTTATCAAGCTTGGTGCCTTTTATATTGACGTGAAACGTGACAAGGAAGAGGATGATAGCATCCTGTTATGCATGCTAATTTCTAAAGGAATTCACCTGCTCAAGAAAGCATAGAAATCAAATAAGTATATCAATACTGGTTCTATGCTTACTGAGGGTCCGTTTGGTACAGATTCTTCGACGCCTCCTGGAGCTGTTTTCGGCTCTCTCTTACCAAACGGCAAAAATGAAGGTGCTCCTTGCGTGAAGCTCCGGAAACCCCGCTGAGACAGACAGCAGACACACGGTGAAGCTGGAAATAGGCGGCTTCCTCCGGCTCCCTCTGACAACGCGCGGGCCTGGACTCTTTTGCCCCGGTGCGGGCGGGCGAGGCCACACGAGCGCGAAGGTGAGGCGAGGCAGATGCGACGTCGAGGTGGAGGCGGAGCGCGTGTGCACTTGCGCGCCGGCGAGGAGTGCGGGCCACGCGAGCGTGCCGAAAAGGAGGGGCCCGGCGCAGTCGCGGAGCTCAGGGGTGGAGCTCAGGGCCCGGCGCAGGCGCGGAGCTCGCATCTGTGCTTTGCGGCCATGGAAAGCGAGAGGATAAGGAAGAGCGCAGGCGATGGAAACTTGGAAAGCGAGAGGATAAGAACGACGCTCCATCTGTGCTTTGCGGTTGGGATGAGAGAGAAATAATAAGAGATACTACAAGAGAGGAGAAAATAAAATAGAGGAAGAAAGAAAAGAAAAACAAAACAAAACAAAAAAGGGTATAATTGACATTTTATCCTTTTGGACAATCAGGTGAATTTGTTTTACCAAATGGTCAACAAAATTGTTTGAGCTCTCCGAGTGAATCTGCTCCACAGGTGAAGTCACAACTGAAGCTGTTTTGGCTGGAGTCGGAGCTCTACCAAACGGGCTTGAGATGCGAGATATGCCACTTGAATAATTTTGGGCCTGATATGATTGTGCTATCACGAAGCATGCAAAATTAGTCAATGGACGTCACGTAATCTTGTGTGTGGTTAGTTTTCTAGCTGGAATATTTTAATATAACTAGATAAATGCCCTTGCGTTGCATGATGACAAATTTGATCAATTTAAAGATAATAAAAATGTAATAAACAATTTTGTATTGAGAACCCTAAACTATTTTTCAATTCGAACCTTATTCCCTTTCTATGCATTTCCCCACATCATTTGCCTCTTTTTCCACTCTTGATGATCATATAGAAAATAAGAGATATTGATGTGGAAAAACAAAGATAACTAAAATATGAAATTAAACACCGGATGATTATACTAATGGTGAATGGAGACTTTGTCAGTGGAGGACCGTGGCATTTTCATTCTCCAGTTGTTTCTAGTTCTTGAGCACCAATAGCCCTGGGGCTTATAGTTCATGAGCAGCACATGTCTGTGCTTGTTTTTGAGCTGCACGAAGTGACCAAGACTCGCAGTCGCACTAGCCGGTCGGAACCACGGAAGCCAGAAACAGTGGAATACTGGAATTTGAATGACAGACACAAACGCAACGCAGATGGTCTTCCAAATCAGCATGTGTGTTCCTTCCGGGGCCTGGGCTTCCATCAGACTAACATATGGCCCAATAGGAGTCAGTCCAGTTCGCTCGTCGCATCGTCCGCAAACTGCAACGACTCATCGTCTTCTTCGTCGCAAACAGACTTCGGCCATGGCAGAGCTCTCCGTGTCTCCCCAGGCAGTCCGCAGGGACAGGGGTTCACCGGAGGGTAGGTCTGGCGGCCGCCAGAGCTCAACATATTGTTGGATCCGCCCTGGTTCTACCCCGACGACGGCACCCCTGTGAACGCCCCGTCAGGAACCGGAGCCGCCGGCCGGTGCCCACGCGCTAAGATGCAACGCGTTCGCTTTTGCGGCGGCGTCCGCGCCAGCCGTGGAGCTCTGCCGGAGGCCCTTCCGCTACGCGCTGCAACTACTGGTGGAAGCCAAGGCGCGGGCGGCGTCGCACGAGGGGCGCGGGAGGGACGGAGGGCGAGCAGGGCAAAGGGAGAACGCGCATGCGGTTACCTTTCGTGTTCCTGGTGGTGTTGATCGATACGATAGGCTCGAAATTGTATCAAACTCGGAGTTTGGGTGCGCACAAGAAGGGAGTTTGACATCGGGCGCGCACACGAAAATCCGTTGGACGAAACCCGTCTGGTTTTTTAAGCAGTACTCCCTAAATTACGAGATATTTTAAGGTTTATAGTTTTTACTATACATCTAAATATATGATATATCTAGATATATAACAAATGCTATAAATTAAAAAAACCAAATTATCTTATAATTTAGGATAGAAGAAATAGCATATAACAGATGTGTGAGATGGTCTCAGAAGTAGCTCTTTTTTTTATTTGATCTGGAGTCGGACATGCACGGTTGTGTCGAGGCGGGTTAGGCCCGACACATACGTGGCTGTGTCAAGGTGCTTTTATGCGCACCAAGTTGGAGTCGGAGCGCCGTGACTACGCTTTGCGTATAAGGCTAAGGTTTGGCCTTACCAACGATTCGGACTTGCTAACGTTCGGACATCCGATCCGAAGTGCTAGTATTGAGCGGTACAGGTGTGCGCAAGAGAAATGGAGCCACACCGTCTGTCTATCTTTCTCACGCCCACCGCATGGGCCCTCATGCCTACTCTCAGTTTCTCACGCCCCCGCTTGCGCCCGCTTGGTGGCGCCCAAGCCAGTAACAGATCCAGGATTCAAAACCTAAGAGGCCAAACTTATTGATTTTAAGCTAATAATCAGTACAATTAACATATATTGTTGTAATTTTTATAA